TTTCATTTCATTTTCCAACTGTCATAGGTTTTACTACGTGCCCGCCAATGAGTACACGAGACTTTGTTTTTCAATCCGAACGACTATACGATTTTCCTTGCCAAGCCCTCCGTCCTACTCAACTGACAAGGACGAAATACGCCGGAAAATTCCAATAAACTTTCTCGGCTAATACCGGGATAGAACACGTGACTTCCAGGTTAGCGCACGTGTAGGGTAAAGCACGAGACTGAGGTTACGCTGGGGAAAGAAAGACTGAAGAAAATAACCCGAGGCGGGCAGGCCGAGGTTTTTCTGTCGAGGATTTTTTCTGAAGTCTTTCTTCCCCAGCATAACCGAATTCGAGGACTTTATCTTGCTTATAAACCGTCTATGTTTACATGTACGCAAGAAGGGAATATCCCAGAATTCCCGTATGAAAAAACCTTATATCATGTTTTCTTATGGAAAAAAAACATATCCTGGAAGAATAACCCGTTGCAGGTTTAAAGAAGAAATTTCAGAAGAATAACCCAAAATTTCCCTGTATATATACAAAGTCGCCCCGACTTTCAGACCGCAAGTTATTCCGGGCATAGATTATACCCCAAAGATCAAAGAGATTGACAGTTAATGCATGTAATGATTTCATATTTTGAATATGAATTGCCGGAAAAATACACGGAAATACATACGCATGTATGAAGTGGGTATAAGTGCATATAATGGAAAACGCATCCTTGACAATTGACATGTAATTCGTCCAATGGAATCTTTACCAAACTCACAATGCTGGATTTATCCAATGGAACCTTTTGTACCATTGACCCCTGACAAATATAGTAGAGGTTCTATTTTCATGGGTTAGTATTCTGAGAGTTAAAACTAATTAACTGATCAGATATGAAGATGTTATTTATAATAGTGATCGTCAATTTATTGGTGTCGACTGGGAGAATTGGTAAGAAAGAATCTATGATACTGTATTTGCTATGTGTAGATTAATTAATTATACTAATCACTATTGAAACCTTGAAATAAAATGGGATGGGGTTTAACGTCCTACTGTTCTACTCCGACTGGGCTAATGAAGATGGGTATAAGCCATACAGTGTGCTATGAGGGGAATTTTGCCCGGAAAGCGGTGCTAAGGCCCGCCCTTAATTCGAATTCCAACTGTCATTGTGTACACGGGGCCTCGCTTTTTCATACCACCCGAACGACTAGACAGCTGTCCTTGTCAGACCCTCCGTGTGTGACCACTGACAAGGCGAAACCACGTCGGAAAATCCCGAAGAACTTTCTCGGCGGCCAAACCCGGGAGCGTGCGAGCCAGCCTCTTATCCACTTATATCCACTTATAGAGCCACTTGTTACAGGTTTTAAACACTTTAATATTTTGAATGTGTATTATTCTACACGAATAAGTACTATTAGTTTCTTGTTTATGTGTCCCGGTGCATTTTTAAGGGATTTGAAGTGATGGTCCCTTAGCAAGAAGTTTTTTGCTAGATTGAAGGGAGGGGGGGGGGGCTCTTCTCCCCCTGGAGTACGATAATGTTTTGATAATTTTGATGTTCCAGGACACGCATAGTCTCTAACTTCTCGGCCCATCAGTTTTTTATGATTTTGGTGGACTGGCCAATATGTAGAGATGGTCTGATGTGTCTATTTAAACAATTCAACAAGTTTCTCGACTGAAACAAAGTTCTATATATATATATATATATATATATATATATATATATATATATATATATATCATAGTATAAAATATAAAAATAACACCGATTTGCTTCTACATGTTTCAATATATTTTCATCAGGAAGCCATTAGTATCAATGGCTTTCTGATGAAAATATATTGAAACATGTAGAAGCAAATCGGTGTTATTTTTATATTTTATACTATGATATATGATACTGGACATTAGAACAACAACTCACTACAGCTATATATATATATATATTACCTGTTGTTTATTATACGAATGAGAACCACGGTGGCTAAGCGAGTAGGACGTTGACTCGCTAACCTTGATGTCCTGTGTTTGATCCCTGCTTTGGCCGAGAAAGTTCATCCGGATTTTCTGGTGTGGTTTCACATTGTCAGTGGTGAATGACGGAGGGTCTGGCAAGGGACAACGTATAGTCCTTCGGATGGAACGAAAAACCGAGGTCCTTTGTACACATTGGCGTGCGCGTAAAAGATCCATTGACAGTTGGAATTCGAAATAAGACGAGCCCGTCTCTTTTAGCCCAGTAGAAGCAGAAAAGTAGGTTGTTAAACCCCATTTCATTTCAATTCCATTACATTTTTCAAATTGCTATGATTGCATGTAGGCTTTGATTATTGGAGTTTAAAACTATATTGCGATATATTAAACATACATTATGCAACAGCTATATAGCTGCCTATTGCACGTTTTTCCTTAGGTCTGAAATGTTATATAATCTATTAATTAGACATTGATTAACTTATCCAAACCATAATCAACTCTCGATGTCCTTTGTGTCGGATTTTCACTGGATTTGAATCCGACCTGCTGTGCAACGCTCATTGATGATTAAATCCGAAACTGGATAAATGAGACTATGTTTTTTATCGTACAGACTTTAGTAATGATGATCAAGGCTAGGCTTAAAATTTAAAAGCTAATATCAGAGTGGAGCACTTTGGCTGAAATTTTCATTATCTATTATTTAACTATTATAGCGAGAACTGTCAGCTTGGTTGCCATGGGGATAAGACACATGTTACATTGTGTTTATTTATCAACAGGGACACATACCTTATGCTTAAATATATTTCACATGGACAACTCTTATTTCGCGCCTCAGGATCAAAATATTCATTATTTATCGACAATAAAATTTAGCTATTTTCTGGGATACTTCTGCTGATAGCGAGGCATACACAAGTTTATCAGTAAACGGGTTCATAAAGTTAAATATGAGTTGTCCAAAGGAAATGTAATTTAAGCAACTGTTAGAGCAAAAAATGTTAAATATTGAAAAATCCTTCTCAGTGTGTAACCAGGATGTCTGATCGTGGAGAAGAATATCCATGATTAGCTAGCCTGTTTCCTTCTTGTCCGTGGTGCAGAACGTTAATAACAAGTAAGCCGGCACAGAACTATCCGGGCAATGTTTCCGCATAGCACACTACATGGCGTATGGCTTTCTTTATTATGAAAATGAAATGAAATTAGATTTAACGTCCTATTGTTCTGCTCCGACTGGGCTACTAAAGACGGGCATACGCCATACAGTGTGTTATGAGGGAAATGTTGCCCGGGCAGTGGCACTATGGTCTACTCGTATATCGAATTCCAACTGACAATGTATACACGGGACCTCGCATTATCGTTCCATCCGGACGACTAGACAGCTGTCCTTAATTGCCAGACCCTTCTTTCTGCACCACGGACAAGGGGAAACCACGTCGGAAGATCCCGATGAAGTTTCTCGTCCAATGCTGGGATGGAACACGCGACCTCCATGCTAGCGAGCCAGCGTCTTATCCCCTTAGCCACTGTGGCTTCGCTTGGTGCAGAACTGTAGAACCACACATTATTTCATTTTGCAACCTAGACCCTTTTTCTACTGATAGCTAGGGGTATACCAGTAACAGAAAAAACGAATCTTGTTTGTTCTTCTGAAATGTCAGTATTCACATGACTCTCATACCACTGTGGGTGGTTGGATTGCGGAATGGTTAGCACCTGCGCGCTGTATCAGAAGGTCTGTCATTGAGTCAACTGGCGTGGTTTCGATTCCCCAGTTGTACGTGACAAGGAGTAGGGTCGCCTGCCCAACCTCCTGGGTTTCCTCCGGCTCCTCCCACTGCTAAAGACCCCTACGCGCAAGCGAATTATTGAAATAAAGTTAAACCATCTGTTAGTCCCGAAATGACCCAGTCGAGTGGACATTAAACCCCGTCTCTCTCTCTCTCTCTCTCTCTCTCTCTAATTGGTATACAATTTGTGAGACTGGTATTAAATATTATTAATGGAATTTGTTTTGTGAGGCTTTAGGTGTAGTGCGCCTGTATCGGGTTGCATTAAGGATTTGATTATTTTCTTATAGCATCCAAACAGATACGACTGGTTGGAGGATCCGGTCCATTCGAAGGACGAGTTGAAGTTTTTCATGATAATAGATGGGGGACAATCTGTGATGATGAATGGGACGATACAGATGCGTCGGTTGTGTGTCGACAACTTGGATTTAGCCCGTAAATATAATTCAATATAATTAAGGATATAGTTTCTCTGAATATTCTGCACTACTTTTAGGTATTTTTGGTCATACGTAAAAAAAAAGACTACTCTATGTTATCAAACCTAATTATCGGCGGTATCATTGTAACGGAAGTGAAAGTTCAATAAAGCTATTTCACACTCTCAAAATGGTCTACAAATTCTTAATTGTTTTGGTATTACAGCAACGCTTAATGACAAACATGGAGCAGGGTATACTTACCCTTGTTCGTGAAACATGATAATTTGGATTCATATTAACCTTAATTGTTGGTCTAATCGTGTTATTCCTCTGGTATACAGGTATGGTAGGGCCGGATTAAGATGAAATGGGGAGCCTAGACTGTTCCACGTTCGAGTACTTATGGCTCAAACCCCCATCCTCAGCAATAGATGAAGAGTGTGTCTTAAACACAATTGAGCGGAGTCGAGGGTGGTTTCGAATATTTAAGACTACAGTGTGTGTCTGAAAGGCTTACACGATTTGGATTTTGTATTTATCAATTTTGAACAATTCTAATTTGGGACCTTTTTTTAGAATCGGGGCGGTTGCGCTCTCCGAAGCAAGGTTTGGACAAGGTACTGGTGGAATTTGGTTAGATGATGTTAATTGTCAAGCATCTGACGTGACACTAGCTGAATGTTCCCATCCGGGATGGGGAGAAGAAAATTGTCATCATAGAGAAGATGCGTCGGTGATTTGTACAGGTAGGTCTAACATAAAATGGATATAATACAAGAATACACGTATTACATGATATTAAACAGCTTTGGTTAATAGCTGTGAGTGGGAGATACATGTAGTATTTATATGTGTTATTCATGCATCATAACGAAGACAAATCCACAGTGCTCGTTATCATTAGATCCTTTGATCCTATGTTACACATGTCTATAAATACAGGGATAATACTAGCACAACAATACGGACAGATATTTCACACATAATTATAATCATTATAAAGCATTTGAAAGTAGCCGAATACATCTGTTTAATTCAGATTCATTTAGTGTTTCAGATTCACTTACGATTTTGAAATAACACTTAGCAATGAAATCACATAGTATGAAAGCAATCACTTTCGGTTCCTGGCGAATTTGGGTGTTTATTTTGTCAAATAAGATGGGAACTTACCTTTAGTCCAGTCAGTGCACAAAATTAGGACGTTAAACCCCATTTCATTTATAAGCACGCTTGATCCATGGCCAAACTCTTTTAGTTCTTAAAGGCCCAATACCACTCTTATTGTAACAGAATAATATGTCCCAATCTTTATTCTGGTCAACAAATTGTACTATTTTACAATATTCCAATTAATTGATGATACAAATTTCATCTTAACACACATAATTTAAACATTTTGAAAAAGTCAACATAATGGTTTGAAACGTCTAACGTAAACCTTTTCAAATGTTATTGTCCCTTTAAAATTTTGTTGTCCGCAGTTGTTACATTGGTTGGGGGAGATACCATTATGGGAGGACGAGTGATGGTATGGCAAAACGGTTCATTGAGAAGAGTTTGTAGTGATGGTTTTGGACAGGAAGAAGCCCGAGTATTATGTCGCCATTTAGGATTTAACAGGTATTGCGGTTAAATTATATACAGCGTGTCCGTCACTGATCTAAATACAACAATTCAATATTTTCTTTTGTCCTAAATCAAAGAGGTTACACTCCACGTCAAATTACAGATAAGATTCGTTGCATTCGCTACTTCGATGATATCTTGACATTACGATGTAGTCATATTTAATCAGAAAGTTTCATTTTTTTTATTAAAATGTCATTAGGTTTGCATCTCGATATGATATTCCGCACTATCTATATCACCCTTCTATTGAATAGGATCCCTGCATTGGCCGAAAAAGTTCATTGGGATTTTCCGACACGGTTTTCCTTTGTCGGTCGTGCAGGACGGGGGCCTGGCAAGGAAACTATCTAGTCAATCGGGTGAGACGAATGCCCGCAGTACCGTGTATACATTGGCGTACACGTAAAAGATCCCTTGACAGTTGGAATTCAATATAAGAGTAGGTCACAGTGCCGCTGCCCGGGCAAAATTTCCCTCATTGCACACTTTATGGCGTATGCCCGTCTTCATTAGCCCAGTCGGAGCAGAACAGTAGGGCGTTAAACCCCATTTCATTTCATTTCATTTGTATTGAATATCGATTGTGATAATTCCGAAATTAATGTTAATTTTATAATCTTCACGGTGTTTTTCATCTTTTTATTTAACAGCAATGATGGGGTTGAACCTGATATTAATGTTGATTTCGGTAAAGGGTCAGGTCCTGTTCTGGTATCTAACATTAATTGTAAAGGAACAGAGTCATTCGTGACTGACTGCAAGGATCCAGAATTCAAATTCGGAGAATGCAGTGACACACCTGACGCCTCGGTCGTTTGTAAATGTACGTCTATAATAAAAGAACATTGAACTGAATTTAGATTTTTAAATGTAGCCTAAATAGAGCTATAAGTACTTAGATTTAAAACATATGTGTGTATGTACGCCCAGCAAAGTTTTAATACTTTGGTGATTGTTTTCACCATAGGGCTTAAAGATGGGTTCCCGCGTACAAACTGGGTGATTTAATGGTATATATTGACTAAAAACATATTCAAACTAATTAATGTGTCATAATTTTGCTTCAAATCCTTCTCAAACATTGTAATTGCGAAGGAATGTCCTGAAATAAAAATTCGATAAACCAGGTCATGTCTACGTCACGTGACTTACCTCTCTTGGAAGTCAGAGGAGAATTCATTGCATACATAAGACGATGTTGTCTGTAATCGCTTACTATTTATTACAAATATCGAATCCTTATTAAATTCTCAGATTATCCACTACCTGCGTCTTTTTCCGTCAATTTTATCTCAGAAGGTGCTGAACGTCTAACTCTTCATAAAGTGTATCAACTTGTACATCAAGCGCTCAATGTTCGCGTGTGACATCACGCGTGCAGAAATGTCTAATCGTCGGGCTGTCGATTAGGAGAACCCTTACATTTTTGTCCTGTATACGCTCCATGAGTGTTTTTCGGGGAATCCAGTATTTTGCTAGTAAGATTGGATATCTATACTTTCTATATAAACCAAAATTACCATACTTTTATTGGAAATAACCACCCGATAAATACTTTTCTGGGAACCCATCTTTAAGAATGGATTAGCAGTTGTATTGACCAATAATTGTCAAAACATGGTATTGAGTTTGGTGATGAACATTTTCGGTGATTTGTTGATGTTTTAGTGCACGCACGATAACTCTGATTCGAAGTAGGCGACGGTGGTGAACTTTGATGTACAGGTTCATTACATCAAAACCTTAACTAAGTTCGATAATGAGCATTTTCTGCTCCGGGTGATATTTGATTTGAACGACCGATGCTTTATATTAAAGTAAATGGTTCAAATACTTAATGCTGCTTAAACGATTTAATTAATAACTTGTTTCAATATTTGCCACATGGTACATTGTCTAACTACTGTTGTCGATCAATCGGGTATTTCAGTTGTTCCACTGCGACTAGTAGATGGAGCAGGACCTCATGAAGGAAGGGTGGAAATGTTTGATAAAACAGAATGGAAAACAGTTTGTGATGATGATTGGGATGATAAAGATGCTTCTTTGGTTTGTAAGCAACTAGGATATAGTGGGTAAATATACGACGTGGAATACATAATCCTAAAACAATAATTGAAGCTGCGCTTGAATTAAATTATTGCTTTTTTTGAATGTAATAGATGCGCGACTTAGTACAGGAATAAACAGTTTTCTATTTTTAACTGTATTAATTCAGTGTAGGTCTTGATGCATTAAATAGTTGGGTTATTAAACATCACTTGTGTATAACAATATATTTTAGGACAGGAGCCATAAGTAAGGGAGAAGCCTACTTTGGAGAGGGAATTGGCAACATAGTGACCGATGTAATCTGTAAAGGAACAGAAGAGTATTTTATGGCTTGTCAATATATTTCTACTTCCGGCTTGTGTGACCATAGCGAAGATGCTTCTGTGATATGTAATGGTAAGATGATTTTAAAAGTATTGTGGAGATATGAATATAGTTTATATTAATGTATTCACTTTGTTTCAGATTACTATACTTTGTACACGAAGCAGGTTCCTCTCACATTATGAAAACGTCTTGTATAGGTAGCAGACTGTAGTGTGTAAATGTATTAAATCTTCAGATAGTTTGGCTGTCCACAGTACCCTAATTACTAAAAATAGACTATACTTTCAATTTATCTTATTTGTCGTAGGCTCAGATTATCTATACCAATCATGTGATTTGATTGCAATGACAGTCGTCCAGCGAATTTCTAATAGCTTATCGTGTGGCGAATATCTTTATAGTGTGCTGGCTTATAGTGTGCCAGGTTGAAAAAGTCTGCAATCGTGTTTTATGTATTTTATTTTATTGGTCGATAAGAATAGCACAAACATCAAGGGCAGTTAATTCAAGTACGTGCCTCCCCTGTGCAGAACCCAGAGATTAACGGAGCGGGACGGAATAAGACCACTGGTGATACCGAGGATGTCTCCCCATAAGCACATACATCAGAAATGAAATGAAGTGAAATGGTGTTTAACGTCCTACTGTTCTGCTCCGAACTGGGCTAATGAAGACGGGCATGTGCCATACAGTGTGCAATGAGGGACATTTTGCCCAGATAGCGGCACTACGGACTACTCTTGTATCGAATTTCAACTGTCAAGGGATCTTTTACGTGCACGCCAATGTGTACAGGGGACCTCGATTTTCGTCCCAGCCGAACAACTAAGCAGCTGGAAATCACGCCGAAAAATCTGGATGAACTTTTTCGGCCAATGCAGGGATCGAACACCCCATTTCCAGGCTAGCGAGCCAGCGTCTTACCCACTTAGCCACCGTGACCCCCCCCCCCCCCGAACATTATATTCAAAAGCAGGAAATGGTTATTGGTGAAATGAAAAAGTATCCATCAAGTTTCAACCCTCACTCAAATAGAATCGAAGCCATCGAGCTCCAGAGTATCGACAAATCGAATTGCTTATTGCTTTATTTAAACTGAACAGAATATGCTCATGACCGAACTTAGTCAACCACAACGCCGAAAACAACTATTACCGTAACAACAACTAGACCCAAGAGACTGTTACTATTACTACGTTTGCAATTTCCCGTAACTATGACTACCCAACGAACAATCAATTCTCTGCCCACCCTCATCCTGCTCCTCCGCCCCCTACTACCGCTATTGCTACTACTAACGAAGAAACAACAAGCACCCAATTAGCAAATATGTGAAAGTTTTAAACTACACGTTGCCGAAAGCATGTAAGATATAGTTATAATTATCTTCTTCGTCTAGGGTTTAAAGTGTTATTTCTGAAGGTGTCCCAATCTTCCCTATTCCTTCAGTAACTGTTACCTTTACATTTGTACTTCAGAAACTTCCAAAACTACCACAACAACCACTATCCCAACAACCACCACCACTATTCCGACAACAACCACGACTATCCCGACAACAACTACCACTACTCCGACAACAACCACCACTCTCCCTACAACAACAACCACTATTCCGACAACAACCACCACTATCCCAACAACAACCACCACTATCCCGACAACAACCACCACTATTCCGACAACAACCACTACTATCCCAACAACAACAACCACTATTCCGATAACAACAACCACTATCCCAACAACAACCACCACTATCCCGACAACAACTACCACTATCCCGACCACAACAACCACTATCCCGACAACAACTACCACTACCCCGACAACAACCACCACTATTCCGACAACAACAACCACTATCCCAACAACAACAACCACTATCCCGACAACAACCACCACTATCCCGACAACAACCACCACTATCCCGACAACAACAACTACTATTCCGACAACAACCACCACTATTCCGACAACAACAACCACTATCCCAACAACAACCACCACTATCCCGACAACAACCACCACTATCCCGACCACAACAACTACTATCCCGACAACAACTACCACTACCCCGACAACAACCACCACTATTCCGACAACAACAACCACTATCCCAACAACAACAACCACTATCCCGACAACAACCACCACTATCCCGACAACAACCACCACTATCCCGACAACAACAACTACTATTCCGACAACAACCACCACTATCCCGACAACAACCACCACTATCCCGACAACAACCACCACTATCCCGACAACAACAACCACTATTCCGACAACAACAACCACTATCCCAACAACAACCACCACTATCCCGACAACAACCACCACTATCCCGACCACAACAACTACTATCCCGACAACAACAACTACTATCCCGACAACAACCACCACTATTCCGACAACAACAACCACTACCCCAACAACAACAACCACTATCCCGACAACAACCACCACTATCCCGACAACAACCACCACTATCCCGACAACAACAACTACTATTCCGACAACAACCACCACTATCCCGACAACAACCACCACTATCCCGACAACAACCACCACTATCCCGACAACAACAACCACTATTCCGACAACATCAACAACTATCCCACCAACAACGACCCCTATCCCGACAACAACCACCACTATCCCGACAACAACCACCACTATTCCGACAACAACAACCACTATCCCAACAACAACCACCACTATCCCGACAACAACTACCACTACCCCGACAACAACCACCACTATTCCGACAACAACAACCACTATCCCAACAACAACAACCACTATCCCGACAACAACCACCACTATCCCGACAACAACCACCACTATCCCGACAACAACCACTACTATTCCGACAACAACCACCACTATCCCGACAACAACCACCACTATCCCGACAACAACCACCACTATCCCGACAACAACAACCACTATTCCGACAACAACAACCACTATCCCAACAACAACCACCACTATCCCGACAACAACCACCACTATCCCGACCACAACAACTACTATCCCGACAACAACAACTACTATCCCGACAACAACCACCACTATTCCGACAACAACAACCACTATCCCAACAACAACAACCGCTATCCCGACAACAACCACCACTATCCCGACAACAACCACCACTATCCCGACAACAACAACTACTATTCCGACAACAACCACCACTATCCCGACAACAACCACCACTATCCCGACAACAACCACCACTATCCCGACAACAACAACCACTATTCCGACAACAACAACCACTATCCCAACAACAACCACCACTATCCCGACAACAACCACCACTATCCCGACCACAACAACTACTATCCCGACAACAACAACCACTACCCCGACAACCACCACCACTATTCCGACAACAACAACCACTATCCCAACAACAACAACCACTATCCCGACAACAACAACCACTATTCCGACAACAACAACCACTATCCCAACAACAACAACCACTATCCCGACAACAACCACCACTATCCCGACAACAACCACCACTATCCCGACAACAACAACTACTATTCCGACAACAACCACCACTATCCCGACAACAACCACCACTATCCCGACAACAACCACCACTATCCCGACAACAACAACCACTATTCCGACAACAACAACCACTATCCCAACAACAACCACCACTATCCCGACAACAACCACCACTATCCCGACCACAACAACTACTATCCCGACAACAACAACCACTACCCCGACAACCACCACCACTATTCCGACAACAACAACCACTATCCCAACAACAACAACCACTATCCCGACAACAACCACCACTATCCCGACAACAACCACCACTATCCCGACAACAACAACTACTATTCCGACAACAACCACCACTATCCCGACAACAACCACCACTATCCCGACAACAACCACCACTATCCCAACGACTACTACTACTATCCCGGCAACAACCAACACTATCCCAGCAACAACCACCACTATCCCAGCAACAACTATCACGGCTCAAGATTCATCTACAAAATCTTCTACCATTCTTCAAGATATACCAGGTAACGATGAAGAAAATTGTCCAAATTTAAAACATATTTTTATACAGCAATGTGAATCAATTATATCATTAATAAATGTTCTTTTCTATTCGCTATTTCTCTACTAGGGACCTTTTTTAGTTTGTTGACAGGGAGTGTTTTATGTTACTTAAACAAAATTGTAGGATGACATTGATAGGAGATTTTGGGAAAACATAATGCAGGAAGATTCCTTTTTTTATTATTTCAGTCGGCTCTCCACCAAATTGCAAACCAGGAATTCATGAATTTGAATACAATATAAAAACAGACGATCCGCGCGGTAATATTCTGTGTTTGGACATTGGTTTATTTGATAGCAGTTCACTGTGTTCTGATGACGAAGATTCTTTGATATTTAATATCAATAAAGATCGGTTTGGTTTCTTTGATTTGTTTAAACTTGAAATGGATAAACACATACCGAAGACATGTTTGAGGCTTAAAGCGCCAGATCGGATACAAGAAGCTAAAGCACGGGTAAGTATGAGTAACGTATGGCTGCTATAATTATAGATATTAGACTAATGTTGTCTACTGGAGAAGTGCATCATTACAAAAACACCAGGGGACAGGTGAAGGGGGCGCAATGGTTCGCTCTCCGTTATTTATACGATGGTTTGAATGACTGAATGGTTAACGCACGTGCGTTGGATCAGAAGGTCTTTCATTGAGACATGTGACGTGGATTCGATTCCCAGCTTGCAGCACCTGTCCAACATCATACCCCCCACCCAACACACCCCGCTAAAGCCCCTTACTCCCGAAATAACCTAGTTTGTGTTGGGTTGACGTTAGCCCCCCCCCCCTCACCCACACACACGCACCCACACCCACCCCCACGTCATGGTTTTCATTTTTTGCTTGTTCCCTTAAAATATCATTAGTCACCACGCGCCTGAAGCACATACAGTGACTGTCTGATCTGAGGTACCACCAATCGGCATGGGAAAATTGGCATAACATGTATGCAGTTTTATTTGAAGTTGTCTAGAAAATGTCCTTAATGACGAACATCGACAATTAATCTATATTTATCTTTACAGCTTACCATTATAGCAAAGGAAGATTTTGTAAATGGCCGGACTGCAACCCTAAACATTTTGATAACATTTAATCGGCCACCAACAGTGGCACACGAGGTTATTAAATGGGTTGTAAACATTGCTGAACTTGGCGAACTCGATGTCATAAAACAATCACAAGCAGAGGATGCTGATAGTTTAACACTCACGTCTGTTAGTAAGTAAACACGTTTTTACGGGGATATTACAAATAAAGGTTAGTTCAACTATTAATTATCACTTTAACACCATACAGACACCCATGGGTATTTATTTCGAGGTTGTGTACCGATAAGCTGGAGAACGTACACTTTATAGGTGGGGGGGGGGTGGATGGCAGAATGGTAAGCACGTGCGCGCTGTATCATAAAGTCTGTCATTAAGTCAACTGGCGTGGTTTCGATTACCTGGTTGTACGTGACAAGGAGTAGGGGCGCCTGTCCAACCTCGTGGGTTTTCTCCGGGCCCTCCGGTTTTCTCCTACTGCTAAAGACCCCTACGAGCAAGCCAATTATTGAAATAAAATTGAACCATTTGTTAGTCCCGAAATGACCTTGTCTGTGTCGAGTGGGCGTTAAACCCCATTTCCCTCGCTCTGTCTCGCTCTCTCTCTCTCTCTCTCTCTCTCTCTCTCTCAACACTTTATGATACCTTTCTTGCAAAAGGTTTAAATGGTTCATTATTGGATATTATTATGTTTTTAGTTTCCCAATTTATTTATTCCACTTATTATTTAGCCGACATTGTATTTATTTGTGTTCACTCTTGGATTGCTCTTGCAGCTTTATATATTATAAGGCTAATTACTTCTATAGATTTTTTCCAATATCTAACTTCCGGTCTAACTTCCGCTGACTCTAAAAGTTTCAAATTGATTACATGATTCTGATTATCAAGAATTGAAATGCGGATCTTCGCAAATCTCCTAAAAATTCTTTGAGGTTCAAATTATTTGCTCATGTGGTGCAGTTGATATCGAGACCACTTCAAAGATCTATTTATGACTCTTTAACTTTCAAATTGGTTAAATGTGAATGTTTCAGATTACCAAGAGAATAGTTTGGTTTCCGCATCAATTAAAAATAATATGCTACACCTGGTGAACGCTGGTACTGCGTATGAACTGAAGAGAGTGCAAATTCAAATCAAAGTAGGTTTATTATAACACACCTGGTCACGCTATGTATTCTAATTCGACTACTGAAACTACACCATGTTCCATATTTGGAAGTTTTCAACACTAGTAGCCATTTTGCTTGACTTCTTGAGTACGGTTTCGCGTGAGACAGTTAGATTAGAGTAAGGCCATAGTGCCACTTCCCGGGCATAATTTTCCCTCATAACACACTGTATAGAGTCCTCTAGGTTAGCGAACCAGCGTCTTACTCACTTAGCCACGATGGATCAACTATAATGGGCAACTTAAACATGACAGAATAACATCAACACAAACACACCACCCACCCCAACCCACCCAACGCAACCACACTCCGGAACGTAAAATAGCCAACATATATCCGATCACACAGAGGCAATATACCACAATATAACCGATCAAATACTAGCAATGTACCACAATAGTGGCGTTGTGAAACTTTATTAATGTTATTATCAAACTGACGTCTTGTTCTTTTATGATTTAGATATCAGACGATGGTATACCAAGTTTATCAACAAATGTAACAGTACAGATCGTTATAGTAAGGTTAGACTGTACTTCAACTAACAAGATGGCGGTAAATATCGGAGATCTTCAGACTGTTAAAACTGTTGGTCAGATTGATTGTGTTGTTTCTAGAGGATATCAAATCCGTTATAATGTCGTACATACCGCACTACAACAAGGTATTTGGTTTTGTAATCTTAGATTTTAGATTCGGTAAAAGTTATATGACACAAACAATCGTGTATGTGTTTAAAAGTAAATGATGTACTGATAAGTGTATTTATCTAGATCGAAATCAAAACCATATAATTGGTAGCCATTTATCGTTAATGTGCAAAGAAAAAAAGTTTATTTCAACACGACATCACTCTCGCTATAATTGCGTTTAAGTACATTTTATTATATCTATTTTTATACGTATGTTTATTGTTGAACTTGTGGAGCCACGGTGGTTAAGACACTGGCTCGCTAGAATGGTGGTCGGGTGTTCGATCCCTGCATTGGCCGAGAAAGTTCATCTGGATTTTCCGACGTGGTTTCGCCTTGTCAGTGGTGCAGAACGGAGGGCCTGACAAGGACAGCTGTCTAGTCCTTCGGGTGATACGAAAAACCGAGGTCCCGTGTGTACGTTGGAATGCACGTAAAATATCCCTTGGCAGTTGGAATTCGATATAAGAGTAGGCGATAGTGCCGCTGCCCGGGCAAAATTTCACTCATAGCACATGGCGCATGTCCGTCTTCATTAGCCCACTATAGGGAGAGAAAGAGAGAGAAATGGGGTTTAACGTCCACTCTACACAAACTAGGTCATTTCGGGACTAACAAATGGTTTAATTTTTTTTCAATAATTCGCTTGCGCGTAGGGGTCTTTAGCAGTCGGAGGAAACCGGAGGCCCCGGAGAAAACCCACGAGGTTGGACAGGCGACCATACTCCTTGTCACGTACAACCGGGGATTCGAAACCACGCCAGTCGACTTAATGACAGACTTTATGATACAGCGCGCGCACGCTAACCATTCAGCCATCCACCCCCCACCCCCGCCCAGTATAGGAGCAGAACAGTAGGACGTTAAACCCAATTTCATTTCATTTCATTTTGTTGCACTTGTGATCTGCACAAACGATTAAACTAACAGTCCATGTTTTTACAGCCTTTCTCGACATACTGTTCGTTCAGGTAGATAATTCAAACGCCAAATTAAAAGCAAACGATCATTTATCCTGTCTGAACGATTGATCGCAAAATATTGAGCCATTTGGAAAATAGTTTATAGGAGTTACGACATTCATAGCGGTTGTCTCCTTTGTATCTGTTAGTTACCGATAAAGTTTTACCCACTTAGCCACCGTGACATCCCTACCGATAAAACCTACTATTTTAATTGAAACCTGTAACCCACAGAAGTACCAGAAAAATTTATCCATTTATCCCCAACGGCAATTGACCACTAATTGTTGATATTTCTATGAAAGCGAATCACAGATTCAGATAGCTGTTGAGAACTAGAATAAAGAGTCTTACACACAGAATTAACCAGTTTTATTAACTAAAATATATCTGGGATTTCCACATTAATCTTTTCTATAATAAACATTTCAGGGCTTGAATTGAGATGTGATGATGGTATAGTGAGTATAATTCAAGATGGCGACATCACGATTATTAGTAAAACACAAGACATCGTTATTAATGTGACGATGATTCAGTTCCCGGCTATTCATGTCAATGTTACGTTTCAATTAGAATTTGGTAAGTTTTAAACCGCTCGCATATATCCAAAACAACTAGCTTAATCTGAAGGATAATCCTTTCATTTAGTCCTTGATAGGATATAATTACTGCTTATAACTGCTTGATAATGATTAGAGAAGACTAGTCGAAACGTCGCTCAGTTATAAGCAGTATTTGTATTCCATAGAATTGTGTCGACCTGTATACTCCAGTTCAATTACTAAATGCCATTGAAACAATTTGAAAGGATATGATACCTAATCTTTATTTTCTGACCCCCACGGTTTGCTTAACCGACGAAACACTTGACGTTAATATAAATCAAGGTAACGTCTTATTCCAAAGTTCTGGTTGTACGTGACAAGGAGTAAGGTAGCATAGCTAACCTCGTGGGTTTTCTCCGGATCATCTGGTTTCCTCTCATTTCTAAATACCCCCTATGCGCAACCATATGTTAGTCTCGAAATGTCTTAGTTTGTATCAAGTGGACGTTAAATATCCCTCTCTCTCTAAATCTCTCTCTGATTGCAAAGTATTTTAAAAGCATTAATATATCAATATGGTTACAGCATTTTATGGACTGATGTGGTTCCAATCTACCGATATATCATGGAAGGGAGAACTGTTAGATGAATCAACCAAGGTATATAGAAACTATGCCAGGAATATTACAGACATGGTATGTCAATCTTTGTTTTCTATAAAGGATATTGAGATCAATATGAATTTTAAATAATGTACATATTTCATTTAACATTGACTTACCACGAATATCACAGGCATATTTGTTTTTCTATAGTAGAAATGAAATGAAATGGAGTTTAACGTCATACTGTTCGGCTCTTACTGGGCTAATGAAGACGGGTATACGCCATACAGTTCATTAATGTTATGAGGGACATTTTGCCCGGGCAGTGGCACTATGGCCTACTCGTATCGAATTTCAGTTGCCAAGGGATATTTTACGTGTAGGCCAATGTATACATGGGTCATCGGTGTTTGTCCCATCCGAACGACTAGACAGCCGCCCTTGTCAGGTCATTCTTCCTGCACCACTGACAAAGGGAAAACCACGTCGGAAAATCCCGCTGAACTTTCTCGGTTTTTATTGTAGATCAATAAACAAAATGTACATGAAGCTCAAAATCATGTCATAGTGCCGCTGTCCGGGCCAAATGTCCCTCATGGCGCACCGTATGCCCGTCTTCAGAACAGTAGGACGTTAAACCCCATTTCATTTCATTTTTTCTAAATCATGTCTTACATTTCCATGTTTTATTTACCTGTTCATCTTCTATCAACAGATAAGTAAAGTTGTAGATAGATCAGTTACCATGGATATAGTACAGTTTAGGTGTGTTATTTATACAAATTTATATAATATTATCTATAAGTTGATGATTATGCCAGTAACAGTTGCCTGATTGCAATACGCCATATCTTACACCGCATACAGAACTTGATACTTTTACCCACAGAAATTAACGACAAGACGTTATGTCACATGAAGTATCATCTTTATATATGTGAAAATGTAGCTTTGTTTCTTTTTTGTTTTCAGGCAAGATTCTTGGGTAGATGTTCGTCTTATATTTCCAAACCAATTAGTTTGTAAAGAGACCAAATCTTTATTTCTCGACTCTAACCATTCTATGATTCGTGGTAGCCAAATCCAGTTTAGTAATAGAGGTAATTATAGATGTACTGTGTGTTAACCATAAACTTATTGTTGTCATTGTTTTTTAAGACGAGCGATCGCTGTCAGGCGCCTGCCGCTCACCTGAATGTTGACCGAGGGGCGTTTTTTCCCTTTCCTTAAAATTTGAAAATCGCTCTCCGTTACAAAGTCATGGGGCGGGGTATTATCATTTATGAATCCAGGAATCACCCTCTAACATGCAGTTATTGCTCTTTAGAACCATTCCCCATACACACACCTCTCAGATCGCCCTCCGTTATTTTTATTTCTAAATCACTCTTATCGAAACTGGGTGAGCTTATTTATGGGAGCGATTTTTTCAATTTGTTGATTACGAGGAGCCTTTTTTGGCTCTCCTCTAAAATACGAACAACAACGACTTTTATTTTTTTTTCTTTTAGGTATGTTTCAATGATATTTCGGTTGACAATACAAAATAAATGTTTTTACTATGCAGCCCTTCGAAATTGTTTCATCACGAATACGTTTAGTAACAGACATGAATATAAAAGAAATATGGGCGACCCAAATCTGATTAAGATACACATGTATACTTCGCTTCGTGTTTTTTTATACTTTCGAAGATCTGACTAGTTGTAATGCAGGTCGTATCAGGGGTCATACGTGCGGCTTTTGACCCATGACGTCAGACATTTGATTAACCAATCAGTGTTGAGGTTTCTAGTATGATACGCACAGTTCCTTGCATGGCACGCCAGGAACAGACCGTTTAATTGGCTGATCTTTCACATCAACCAGCACGCGGGTTAAATAACAACTCCTCTAGATTCTAGTGTAGTAAATACAATTAAAACGAGATTTTGAACTATAGGAAACGACACGAAGTAGGATCTGTGTTTTAATCTGATTGGGGTGACCCGGTAACGTAATGAATTTGTGATACTTGATTTTAACTTTTTTTTAAGAATTTGTTTTATTTTGCATACACAAGATTTGTTCCTTTTTTAATTGTTATACTGCCCAAATTCAAATTTATTCCATTCCTTCTATTGATGACGTGTATACTTTTAGGTAGCCATATATTTGTTCCAACTGTCAACATATTGAACAAGGCAAAACACATCCTGGGTGGCGATACTGTTATCATCTTCTGTGAGACTGTTATAATAAATCCGAGTGGTCAGGTTTCTGTGAAATGGACATTAGATGGGGCCGTTGTTCGACCTTTGTTGTCATCAAGATTTCAAATTTCGACCGGATTTGAGTTACCCTGGCGACTACAGTCGAATTTAACAATTACAAACATTAAAATGATAGACCAAGGTAATGAAATATTACAGACATCACTAATGTAATAAGATTTATATTAAACTGAAAGATCGAGGTGCTGAAACAGTAGATACCATTTGAAAATCTTACAGTGTCCATACTGACTGAATTCTAATTTAACAGTCACAAACACCAATGAAACATATCATTAGATTTTGGTAATAGTATATCAGGCATTAGGATTTATAAGACCGTTTTTAAAAAGACCGTCTTCATTAGCCCAGTCGGAGCAGAACATTAGTACGTTAAACACCAATTCATTTCATTTCATTTATTAAAAGACGACAATTATGTCAATTCTGGTGGATTTTTTTAGGTACAGTACAGTGTCATGTTAGTGATCTGAGTGGTTATAGAGAATTTTCGAGCATTCCTTTGGAAATTATTTCTTCTCCAACTGTCGGTGTTCCAGAAACTCAGTTTGTCAGGCGTAATAAAAGCATTAACCTAATGTGTGAAGTTTTAAAGCCCAAAAATGTATCTACAACTTTGATGTGGCTACATGATGGAATCAATATACAAAATGGTAAGTACATTGTATTAAATGTATCTACAACTTTGATGTGGCTACATGATGGAACCAATATACAAAATGGTAAGTACAAAAGGGATCTACAACTTGATGTGGCTACATGATGGAACCAATAAACAAAATGGTAAGTACATTGTATAAAGTGATCTGCAACTTGGTCATCTGTCCTATATGGCGTTCAAAATAATCTGTACTATGTAGCATGTACCTCTGGCGGACTCCAAGTACCGTTAAATAATCTCGTTTCGATGGTACTATATTATTGTATTCAATTCCTGTTTCCAGGTTCTGAATTGAACAGGATTGTAACCAAGGATATCAATGTAACATGTATTGGATTAAACATAGCCGGTCGAGGTAAAGGCAACACAACCAAAATAATCACCATTAAAGGTACTAAATGTTGTACATGTATAAGCAATTTATTGTTTTCCTCTCTTTGTATTGAGGGTGGATAAGTTGGTAAGACTCTGGCTCGCTAACCTGGAGGTCGGGTGTTCAATCCCTGCATTAACCGAACATTGGCATCAGTGATGCAAGGCGGGGGGCCTGAGAAGGACAGCTGTCTAGTCGTTCGGATCGTACGAAAAAATGAGGTCCCGTGTACACATTGGCGTGCACGTAAAAGATCCCTTGACAGTTGGAATTCGATATAGCACACTGTATGTCGTATGCCCGTCTTCATTAGCCCAGTTCGGAGCAGAACAGTAGGACGTTAAACCCCATTTCATTTCATTTCATTACATTGTATTGAAATCAATTATTTAGCCAACCGGGTCTATATTGCAAACTATTAGACATTTTAAAAGAGACATTTTTATCGTCAGTTAATTATCTAATATACTGTGATATTTGCTTTTATTTGTGTACATGAATACTTTGTGATATTATATAGCTTGCCTCATACTATTCACCATACGTTTGACGCTGTGTAGCCCGGTTGGAGCTGACGTGACATAAAACCATATTTCATTCATTCATTCTTTGTATTGAATAGCGAGAAAAACTTATTAAGTAATTTAACGACAAAGAAATGATTCTACTTTACATTTTTGTTCTGAGGCGCCATGACGAAAATACACGTTATGCTCTTTTCACAAACTTTAACATTTTTCATGATTGATTAAAGGACCGCTGACCTGTCCACACGATATCGATGACAGAGGAACATACTGGTCTGAAGCATCACCAGATGCCAAAGCTGAACAGTCTTGTCCGTCTGGATATACAGGTAATATTTCAGGCAACGATATTTCAATACATTGGATTGTGATACCACGACTTGACTCTATGGGGCTAGTTTAGTAAAGAAAAGAGAGTGGGGTGGGTTGAGGTTGGGGTGTGGGTCACCAAATCTGTAATTAAATGAAATCTATTCGTTTGGAAATGCCTTGACGATAACAATAGTTTATCTCTGAACTTGGCATAAAGAACGGTTACCTCTTACGATCAGTAAATCGCTTACTTGTTTTCGAATACCATTGACCACGTGAACTTGTATATGCAATACATAGAGGATATTTGTCTTTTTAGAGTGAATAACATATTTTATTTCATCGAGAAGCAAGAAAACATATATTTTCACGAATGCGTAGCATGAATGAAAATATAAACGTTTTCTTGCTTCGAGATGAAATAAAATATGTTATTCACGACGAAACGACAAATGTTCTATTTATTTTATGATTTTACAATCATTTTAGGTAAAAACAACATGGACTACTGCTAGCCAGTGGAATAACACTTTTTTTTCACTGATAAAACGCGGTATTCCACTACTGATCATAAAATAAATGTGTATATTACACCGCTGTTTTATCCTACCTAGAAAACGTTCTTTTCTTAACCCCACTACCTCCGTCCCCCAACTGAGAGTCAGATTTGACCACAGAATGCTTGATGAGTTGATATAATAACTTATATATTCTGTCGTACATTTCTCTTATATAATTTTATTTGACAAACTTTCAGGGGCAGAACATTAGGATGTTAATTCAGGCTTAACCACAGAATGCACTGAGGAGTTGATATGCAACTCACATATTCCGTCGTACATTATTTTATTTGAAAAACTTTTCGATCTGCATTAGCCAGTCGAGTTAGAACAGTAGGAAGTTAAACCCCGTTTCATTTCAATTCCGTTTTTTCTTTATAGGGAGCGTATCTAGATATTGTAATAGCGATGGGAAGTGGTTGACGGGAGATTACAGTTCATGCGTTCAAGCATCATTGTTAAACATCGAGAAACAGGTTGCATTATTACACATATTCATTATAATTGGGGTCAATACAGCAAGATGTTCTTTTGGGTTTTTTTTTATCTAAATGCAGATTTTCTCGATACGGTTGATAAGAAGGTTGAATGGTAGTTGTGATTCTATGACACAAGAAATAATCGATAAACAGGCAAAAATCTGTCTAGCCAACTGACAGTTATATAAACGGAATTGGTCACTTATGGTCTACATCTCTCTAAAGTCCAACAAAGAACAATGTCTAGTCGTTCGGTGGGGATACAAGAATAGGCCGTGGCGCTCTGACCGAGCTAAATTGCCTCATAGCCCACTGTATGGCGTATGGTAGTGTTTCTTTATGAGCCCAATCGGTGCTCCGGTGCTGAAAAGTAAGAAGTTAAACCCCATTACATTTTATTTATTTATTTATTGGGGTTGTTTCAGATTGAGTAGTGGGGGTGGGTGGCCGAATGGTTAACGCGTGTGCGTTGCATCATAAGGTCTGTCATTGAGTCAAGTGGTTCTTTTCCCCCCTTGAACGTGACAAGTAGTAGGGTCTCCTGTCCAACCTCGTGAGTTTTCACCGGGTCCTCCAGTTTCCTACCACTGCTAAAGACCCCTGCGTGTAAGCGAAAATTGAACCATATGTTAGTCCCGAAAGTTTGTGTCGAGTGGACATTAAACCTCGTGTCTCTCGCTCTGTCTCAGATTGAACAAGTAAAAGCCGGAATTGTTGTGTCGGAACCCGATAAGTTGGTAGCCAATCTGACCAAAATAACCAAACAATCTAAGTTAGAGAAGGACGAAATACTTCATATGACAAATGCTATAAAAACCCTGACACAAATTACTGATGAAACAACCCAAAACTCATCCACAGCCCAGAATAAAACTAAACAGTTTGCTAAAGTAAGTGATCATTTAATTGTTGACTTTTATATATCATTATATAACATTCAAGCATAATAACCAGACGATATTTTGTTTATGGATTCTAGATTTAGAATACGCTTTTCAAATGAGTGACATCTGTATTTGATTAAGATCCATTAATTTAATTAATTGATGTATATATGAAATGGGTATTTTGAACTGTAATGGAATGTAAACGTAATTTTTACCCCTCGATCAGCTTTCCTTTTGGGGTATCTTTGTGGGTAGATACAAAATATGTAAACATATTCACTGTGCACTGAAAGATTATTTATTTGTAAAAAAAAAATGTGAGTTCAGTTGCATTAGTATTTTTCTTTGTAGGAATCAGTGATACTGGTCAGCACATTATTTGACTCTGAGCAAGATGCAAATATGGAGACGCTTGAATACGAGGTAACTAATATACATATTATAATCTCTAGACATACGGCTATTGGGTCATTGGTCTAAACACTAAAGGAACCAAGTTCCCAATAAACAAAAATCGCTAGTATGTATTTGTGAAAGACCATGACCATCGGAGACGTCAGTAGTCTACATCTATCTCTTTATTTTTGTTGTATACTTTTTTAAAATAACCGATGACTTAACTTCTAAGAAATATCTTTAATTGTGTCCCTTATTTAGAATAGCAGTATATCCAACGATTTAATGGAAACGATGGAGAAAGTAGGTGAACTAGTTGGGGATAATCTACCGGATGGGAATTCCGAGACAATTCAATCTGAAAATATTGGTAAGATAGGTAGTTTTAAAATAAAAATTGGTGATAACTACCAATGCGCTATTTTGGTTTGAAATAAGTTAAAATATTATTTAATGAAAACAATTGTGATTACTGTTAATGCGCTATGTCGTTTTGTAACTTATTGCAAGGTCTTGACATTATAATGATTAATCTGTGTTTAGAAACCGTAAACGTAGCAGATGATATTGGAACAACGGTTGGTCATATGCTCAAACAGAAACGTAATTATAGCGCCGTGATTACGTAGTGTGTTAGCTGGGTATAATATTATTATAATCGTTATCTATGTATATGATTACAGTACTCTCTGTTGGTAAAACGGACCCATATAACATTACTGATATAAATTTCCCCGGTGACATTAATACAGATATTAAAACAAACGCTCAACTACCCAAAGAAATATTCCAATCTTCTTCAGGTAACTATGCAAAATATTAATTGCTTTGCAACTTTATGCTTGTTACGCTGACACTCACGCCCTTATACCCCCGTCAGTCCGGGGTGGCGTCCTTACTGCCCGACTACGGCGACGGAAAATGGCCCCAGAGAGCGTTAAGATCGCCATAAGCGTGCTACAGGCGTGCTGGAAACGTCAGATATCGTGCTGTGGTATCCATGGTTGTCGCCACAGATCGCCGAGTCACGCCGTTTGGTTTGGGCATGTTGAAAACAAACGCCAAGGTTCTGCGGTCTGACCTTGAAAGCTGTGGGAACGCGACTTTTTTCAAGTTTGTAATTTTGGGGACATTTTCTCGCGTTGTGTTCACGTTTTCAGGCGACCTTGTGTATTTTCTGGTCGCATTACGGTCGCAGCTGCGCAGTAAGGACGCCACCCCGGTCTGACGGGGGCATAACAGATATATAAATAGGTATGTAGGCGTTTATATTAGCCATATATAAATGGCGTTTATATTTTGGAATTTTAGAAATGCACGCTTGTAACTCAGAATATCACGCCTACACTCCCAAATATAGATAAATAGTTATATATATTAGATTTTATATTATAGTCAGTCATATATATAAACGAAGTTATCGTTTAGGAATATTAGAATATATGATTGTTACGGGAAATATCGCGCCCTCATTCCCATACATTCCGCATATAGATAAATAACTATGTAGGCTCTTATATTACGTCATACTGTCATTATATAAAATTAATGTTGCTATTTCGTTTTCCCCTTGTCAGTGGTGTAGGACGGAGGACCTGACAAGGACAGTTGTCTAGTTGTTTGGATGGGACGGAAACCCGGGGTCGTGTGTATTCATTGGTGTGCACGTAAAAGATCCCTTGGCAGTTGGAATTCGATATCAGAGTAGGCCATTAGCCCAGTAGGATTAGAAAAGTAGGACGTTAAACCCCATTTCATTTTTCTTTTAATGTTGCTAATGCTTTGGATTTGTGGGTTTATTCCAGATCTGAATACAGTTACCTATTCGATAATATCTTATAAAAGTATTCCAAATCTACCAACAGACACAGATAGGTCAGATTTCATTTTTATTGTACGAAAATCAAAATGTCTCCAATTCATACCAGACATGACCGAGGTTTTTCGCATTCGTGACAAAGAAATGAAAATATGGCGGTTTTGAAATTATTGGATATGCCCTTTATCGCTTACTAGTTTTACGAAATATTCAATGTTTTTATTCTAACTCTTTGTATCACCTAGAATATATATTCAGGTATTGCCTAATGTAAATACCCGTATTGTCGTGGGCTCCATCTTAGAATTGGACGTTACGAGGAACAACCTTATAGAATTGTTATAGATATGTTAAAGGCTCCATACCACTCTTGTTGTAACTGAATAATATGTCCCAATCTTTATTCTAGTCAACAAATTGTACTATTTTACAATATTCCAATTAATTGATGATACAAATTTCATCTTAACACATCTAATTTTAAAAATTGGAAAAATTCAACTAAATGATTTGAAACGTCTAACGTAAACCTTTTGAAATGTGACTTGGATTTAAAAATATTTTCAAACCCTCTGGACAAGTAAAATAGGATCTAATGGATAATTTACACAACAGGTAGGACACATAAACATCTACTTCATAGAATAAGGCTAATATTTATTTTCTGGAGCTGTCAAGCCAGCAAGAGTGTTATTGTCCTTTTAATATCATTGGGTTTTTTTTGTCTTCGTGGGTTCTGTTTCTGACATTATATCCCGCCTCCTTTACAGTGGTAATGTACATGTTATATTTGATTTTACAGAAATCTCACCACTGGTGATGACAACTCATCCACAACATTCGGGGTTAATTCTGAGATATTAGCTATTAATGTGTATGGACAGGACACTTCTAAACTTCAATCAGACATTGTGTTGACTTTCTACCATCTTAATGTAAGCAAACATTTATTCACGTCGCTGTGAGTAGGATAACAATAGGGTTATGGGCAGGATACTTCTTAACTTCAAGCAGAGAAGGTGCTGTTCTTTTCTACTATTGTAACGTAAGGAATGATATATAGCCTACTTTTATTAGTGGGTAGGGTAGCAAACGGTTATGGTTTATATTCCCATAATATCCGCTGTAGTCTTGTTACACGAAATCAAAGCTGGTGCATAACACATCCCCAAGGCGTTCATAAAACCAAATAAAAAATAAGGTTGTGAGTAGGATAACGCTAGAGTTATGGACAGGGTTCTGCTAAACATCAAGCAGATAAGCTGCTGTTGTTTTATACTGTCGTAACGTAAGGAATCACATATTATACCCTTTGTGGTGGAAAGGGTAGCAAAAGAAAGACCTGCAATAGGCAGATTTAGCTCTTGCATAATGTATGTTTAAGCAACCAATAATTATTATATTATGTATGTTCTGTTATGTATCCTCTAGGTTATAAAAAAAGTTCTGTTCTTCTGTTCTGCTAATCGTCCTTATTAACAATATTTAGGCAAGACCAGGTAGACTTTTCCCTTTAGATATAATTTATTTCATCCAGATACAAATTTACTCATATTTATTATCTAGTGAATCTATTTGATTGTATTTTAGACTACCCCCGGAAATGCTGTCTGTTCATATCTGGATTCTTCTAAGTGAGTATTATTGGGTTTGACCTCTTTGTTTGTTCTTTCTTCAATCTTTCTAATCTGTGTTTTTGATAACTGTTAAGATGTTCACATAAACTGAACAAGACCACGATCTTTGTAGGGGAGAGAGAGAGAGACCATCTGTTAGAGAGAGAGAGAGATGGGGTTTAACGTCCACTCGACACAAACTAGGTCTTTTCGGTACTAAAATATGGTTCAATTTTATTTCAATAATTCGGTTGCGCGTAGGGATCTTTAGCAGTGGGAGGAATCCGGAGGACCCGGCGAAAACCCACGGAGTTGCACAGGCGATCCTACTCCTTGTCACATACAACTGGGGAATCAAAACCACACCGGTTGACTCAGTGACAGACCTTATCATACAGCGCACACGTGCTAACCATTCAGCCACCCACCCCCCATCTTTGTAGGAAGCGGGGTGGAGGGTTAAAGTAAATTCTATCATACACAATCTTCTTTCACTTAGAATTTAACTGAATACATTACACTTTATAGAATTTAAACACAGGGACATTGATAAGAATAACACCATGACACTTTCTTTGCTGATGAATTTCAGTGTCTGGAGCAGCCAAGGATGTAAAGTAGTAAATACCAATCGAAGATTAACAATATGTTCTTGTGACCACTTGACTAATTTCGCTCTTTTAATGAAACCAACCAAAAGAAGTGTTAGTGAATATATCGTAAGTATTTACAAAATGATTCATTTTAAAGAATTGTTGTACAAAGTTTCGCTGGAGTGCAAACGACAAAAACGGGTCAGGTTATCGAAAAAATATATGGGAACTTAAATAATTAATAATCATCGTTTTCAATGTTTCAAATTGTTAAACTTTCGTAATCCAAGATTCATCTGTCTATGTTTAGGGAACTGGGTAGTTACACGTTTACTACCAAATATAATAAAACCAATACGAATAATCCAAACCATTAGACAAAATTCAAAGTCCTAAAAAAACGGTATAGGCAAAATAGTGTAATCAGCAAATGGACTGTTCACCGTGTACAAAATACACGACAAAGAGTGGTAACAGGTGTCCGGAAGGGTAAACTTACCCTACACCCGCCATAGCTGCATCCAAACCATTAGACGAAATCTCGGTAAAATAGCGTAATTAGCCAATGGAATATCCGTTGTTTTAAAAATGTTGTGTATTCTCTTGCAGCTCCACCACTATGAAGTTTTATCAACAATGACAATAATTGGATGTTCAATCTCTGTGGTTTGTCTAACAATAACCCTGGTTACATTCATAGCTGTGTGGAGGTTTGTGCCACATTGTTTTACTATTATTATATTAACGACTGCTAACATTGGAGAAACGGCACCTTTATGCCAACCAGCGAAATAAGATGAATTTGAGATCACATAATAAAGGGACAAAACTTTGATATTATAACCAGATGTTTGTTAAATGAAACCTCGTAGTTCTATACATATTTACTCTTACATTTACGCCCCTGTCTATTTGTGAAAATATAATATGGCACTTTTAATGGTAGTGGTTGTGTTGCGGGTGAGGGGGGGGCGGGGTGTAAACCGAATACAACCGGCAACTGGGGACAATATATTTATTTCTACTTTATATCGATCATTACTATAAAACTTTGAATTAAACCCAACATTGTTCATTATTCATATTATTATTTTAATTTTAATAACTGTCAACTTCACCGATTTCAGATTTGTTCAATGTACCCGCACAATAATCCTGGTTAATCTATGTGTAGCCTTGATCATTGCTCTCTTGCTCTTTATACTGGGAGTAGATAAGACATATAATCAGGTAAATAGAAGATTAAATGGGATTTCCTTACTACAGATAAAGTTTGGTCTAGCGGTATTAATAAGGGTTATTTCCCTTTGCTTGTACGTAACAAACCGGATCGGTTTTCTAGGGAATTTACGAATTATTGAAATATTAAGCATAGATTATTCTTGAAATGATGTTAAATCCTATTTCAACTTAACTCTGATGGTTAGAGTCCTACCTTGCTGTACTAATAGAGTTATTTCCCTTTATTGCAATATTGTGTATTGATTGTAGGACCTGTGTACCGGGATAGCTGTTGGCTTACATTTCTTCTACCTGGTGGTATTCTATTTGATGTTAGCTGAGGGTATGGAGATTCTGCTTACCATCATCAACGTATTTAACAGTTTGTCGAAGTTAAGAGAAGTTGGTCTATTGCTCTTTGCTTGGGGTAAGTAGGCCTATATTTTAGGGCTTCTGAATCCTTTGCAAACTACTTTAAAGAAATGTCAACCCACTAGCTAATTCACAGTGTCTCTTTGTGTATACTAAGGTCTGGCAATCTGATTAAAACACAGATCCTATTTCGTTTCGTTTTTTATAGTTCCAAATTTTGTTTTACTTGTCTTTACTACACTAGGATCTGGAAGATTTGTTACCTAACAGGCGTTCTGCTGGATGTGAGGAATTAGCCAATGAAACGGTCTGTTACGGCGAGTTCTTCGGTAAACCACTAGACACGTCAACGCTGATTGATTAATCAATGTTTGACGTCATAGGGTCAAAAGTCACTTGTCTCTCCCCACCACTATAACTGATCAGATCTTCATGTAGTATAGGCCATCTAAAGTATAAAAATAAACAAAACGAAATCAGATATGTATTTTAATCAGATTGGCGGTCTGTTAGAAAATATTAAACATAACTACGGGATGAATAACGCGCTGTATCATAAAGTCTGTCATTGAATCAACTGGCGTGGTTTTGAATCCCTGGTTGTACGTGACAAGGAGCAGGGTCGCCTGTCCAACCTTTTAGGTTTTCTCCGGGTCCTCCGGTTTCCTCCCACTGCTAAAGACCCCTACGCGCAAGCGAATTATTGAAATAAAATTAAACCATATGTTAGTCCCGAAATGACCTAGTTTGTGTCGAGTGGACGTTAAACCCCATTTCCCTCTCTCTCACACGGGATGAATAAACATAATATTTATTTTTGTTTCCAGGGGTACCCTTGATTATTGTGGTTACTTCTGCAGGTGTGACACGATTCCACGGATATGGAAATAAGAATTTGTAAGTGTTTTTCTTTTATGATTGTTTTAGTTTTCTTTATGTTTGTTTATGTTCTGTCGATGGGGATACCTCAGTTTACAATTGGTGGAGATACTGGATTGGTCGGGGACCTGCGGTGGTTTCGTTGGTTCGTTAAACAGGGGGTACCGCGTTCGATTCCCGCGTTGGCCGAGAAAGTTCATCTGGATTTTCTGATGTGATTCACCCTTGTCCCGCACCACTGACAAGGGGCCATGTGTGGTCGTTCGGGTGGTACGAACAATCGTTTTCCAGTGTGCGTAAAGACGGATGGAATTTAAAAAAAAAGAGTAACCAATAGTCCCGCACCACTGACAAGGGGCCATGTGTGGTCGTTCGGGTGGTACGAACAATCGTTTTCCAGTGTGCGTAAAGACGGATGGAATTTAAAAAAAAAGAGTAACCAATAGTGCTGCTGTCCAGGCAAATTTCCCTCATAGCACACTGTATCGCGTATGACCGTCTTCATTAGCCCAGTCGGTAAAGAATTTTGGATTGGTCGGCCTGAAGTTAAAGTTTGAAATCGTTGATCTTGCTACAATGAAAGACACTTGCTCATTAACAATGAGATCCCGGGCTCAAGGTGTTTGCCGTGATAGTTGCTCGGGATTTTGCAGGGTGTTTTTCGTGTATCCGTGGTGCGGGGCAGCGTGGCTGTCACGGAACAGCGTGTAGTCGTTCTGATCGGAGGAAAAACTTAGGTACCGTGTACACGTTGAGGTGCACTACAATAACCTCTGACAGCAGAATTCGATTATCAAAGGTCCATACTCCCCCATAGATTGCTTCATGCGGCACATTAGAAAATATGGTAAAGACAAGTAGGACATTAAGTTACCGACCATTTTCTTTTACATTGCTTCTTACATTCTGATACACGCAAAATATCTATAAATTTTTTACCGCCCAATTTTATCAATACACATAATCTGTCATACTTTGTAAGCAACAGTCGTATTTCGTTAGCCTTCTTTGAAAAGGTCCACTTGGGTTTTTTTGACAGCAGCAGATGGTTTTGAGATCAGTGTAACATCTATATCATTATAATCAAAATGCTTAGTCAATGTGTAAATATATATGTACAAAATGAAGTTGATTAAGTATTCATTTTATTGTTTTGGTGTTTACTCACTTATTTCTTTTATATGTCCATATTAATAATTAATATATCAAATTTCTTCCAATTTCTGAATAAATTATTGTTTAAAAAAAACAAAATTCAATTTTAAATCATTCATACGAATCGTGCCCCGTCACGATGGAAAGAGAGAGAGAGAGAGAGAGAGAGAGAGAGATGGGGTTTAAAGTTCCACTCGACACAATCTAGGTCATTTCGGGACTAACATATGGTTTTTAATTTTATTTCAATAATTCGCTTGCGCGTAGGGGTCTTTAGCAGTTGGAGGAAACCGGAGGACCCGGAGAAAACCCACGAGGTTGGACAGGCGACCCTACTCCTTGTCACGTACAACCGGGGATTCGAAACCACGCCAGTTGACTCAATGACAGGCTTTATGATACAGCACGCACGTGCTAACCATTCTACCATCCACCCCCCCACCCCCCCCACGATCACTTGATCACAATTCTGTCAATTCGGATTATTCCCTAAGCTATGAGACATTTCTATATGTCATAGTGACTATACGCCAATCTGTTTCACAGATTATTAGGAAAGTATTCTAATATCTCTGTAAAGGATGACTGCCTTCAACAAAATTACGTCATATCACGCGACGTCAATCATTGGCTCAATGGCGCGTGCGTTTACATAAGAGTTACAGATTCCAGCAGAATGGCGCCTTTTACTCATTTTAATACCCATTTACACTAAAATAGGAAATAATTTTTACCTACAAATACTTCAAACGTATTTATTGATTTTTCTAATACATAAAAAAATGTTTTAGAATTTAATTTGTCGGTGGAAGAAATTTAATAAGTCATTAAGTCACATCGATGTCATCCTTATCAGTGAATGTCGCGGCCTAGCGAATATTCACTGCTGAATAGTGTGATTATACGCATGTAGTTATATTATTTAATTCAACTCCATGTTGTTTTAATTCGCCCAGTCGGGGCAAAACAGTAGCACGTTAAGCCACATTTCATTTCGTTTTAATTCGTATTGATTAGCCTATGAAACATTTTATAATGATTATTCACATATGGTTGTCTTAACTTGTATTTATGAATCTATGAAACATCTCTATATTTTATAATGATTATATCTATGTAATTGTGTTTTTTAGTTGTTGGTTGTCTATAGAAGGTGGTCTGATTTGGGCGTTTATAGCCCCAGCATTAGTTGTAATTCTGGTAGGTATCAATATAATTTATATCCGGTAGTGAAAATATGTAGGATTGTTGTTTTCTAGTTTGGCTTGTTTCTGTAATACAAACGGGTAAAGGTATCTATGATTTATTAGAACATTGCTCATCCATATAAATAAAATGAAATTGATATCTATTCAACAATACATAATAAGTATTAAAAGCATAATAAACTCTTGCAACTGCCACCTGGAATAGTAAGTAAATTACTTATAATTAATGTGTATTTCGATAACTGTCAATAATAATATTTGTGTTTCTAACTTCTTTTCTTTTCACTATCGTTTTATACTGTAATTTCTGTTCAAGTGCAGTAAACCACATTTAAACAGTCTTTGTTTTTCTCTGTCTGGTTTTTTTTTGTTGGTTTTTTTTTGTTTTTTTTTATAAGGTTAACATTTGTTTTTCAGGTGAACGTAATGATAGTAGTTAAAATCATCCATGCAATGCTGACAACCCGAGTTATGATAAGTAAAGATACAAGAGACAAGGCTAAGTAACTACATTAATATCTTGCCCCATTATTATCGCTTATTATATGGTAATAACTTCTGTATAACACCTGGAATACAACGGCTTGTATTGCGTTCCCATTGGGGGCGGGGGGTGGAGTCTGGTGGTTTAACGAGTGCGCTTGAAATCACAACGTCTGTCTTGAGTCAAGTGGCGTGGGTTCGATTACCGACTTAGATGTGGCAATGAGTAGGGTCGTCTGTTCAATCATATCTTGAACCATATGTTCGTCTCGAAATGACCTAGTTTGTGTCGAGTGGACTTTACCCCCCCCCCCCCTCTGTTTCAATACCGGTGCTTGTGATATATTTGAAACCTGTATTTGTAACCAATGTTTAGATACCGGTGCTTGTGATATATTTGAAAATCAGTATTTATGATATATTTGAAATCTGTATGTGTGATATATTTGAAATCTGTATTTATGATATATTTGAAATCTGTATGTGTGATATATTTGAAATCTGTATGTGTGATATATACTATTCAAAAAAAGTAGGGGATATTTGATTTTGGGGGCATAATACTAAAATATGCAAATGACTACGAAAAAAGTCACTATAGAACCTAACAGAAGAAACATTTCCAGTTACATGTGACGCCCAAACGCACCAATAGCTACCGCATGGAATGCAGGTGATGCTTGGGATCATCATGGGGGTCCAACCCAAGATTTGCACGACTCTGACTATGAATGTTACAGTCATTGTGGCATTGAATTCCAGGGTGGAAACATCAGTTTAATTGTTTTAGTGACCAGAAAACAAATTTTGATATGCGTCGGCTTACCCAAAATGAAAGGTTACGTGCCCTTGGCATGCTACAGATCGGCACAACACAGGCGGTTGTGGCGCGGACGATGAATGTTTCTCAGTCTGTCATAAGCAGGCTATGGTCCAGATACCGTCATACACAATCTGTACAGGACAGACCACGCTCAGGTCGACCAAGGGCGACAACTCAAGCCCAGGATCGATTTATCCGTACCTTGGCCTTGAGAAATCGTGTCATCACAGCAAATCAGATCAGCGCTCGTCTTCAAACAGACACTGGTGTGAGAGTGAGTGGCTAGACGATTCGGAATCGACTGCATAGGGCTCACCTTCGCGCCCGACGTCCTCGCGTGATCCCTTGTTTGAGAGATCATCACATTCAGGCAAGACGTCCTTGGTGTAGGGATCGTCAACACTGGGATAATCGACGCTGGAGCAATGTGATGTTTTCAGATGAGTCAAGGGTCACTGTTGATTTTTTGGACAGACGTAGGAGGGTGTGGCGTCGTCTAAACGAGCGCTTCCAAGACGTTAACGTCATCAGACATGATCGATTTGGGGGTGGTTCTGTTATGGTGTGGGGAGGCATCACTGTTGCTGGAAGAACGGCTTTACATGTTGTTGCAGGGCGTGGTACAGGCCAGTACTACCGGGACAACATCTTGGCAGTCCATGTTGTGCCGTTCGCACGACGTCATGGCCACCGTTTCATCTTCCAGGATGACAACGCAAGATGTCACAGGGCCAGGATCGTTACAGGAAACCTCCAACAACAGAACATCACCACATTACCTTGGCCAGCACCGAGTCCCGACCTCTCCCCCATCGAGCATGTCTGGGACATGCTTGGACAGAGGTTACGTCAACGTCAACAACGTCCTGCCAATGTCCAAGAACTTGCTGCTGCGTTGCAACAGGAATGGGACAATCTGGACCAAAATGACCTTAGACGTCTCATTAGGAGTATGCCACGTCGGATCAATGCTTGTTTGGCAAACAGAGGAGGATTTACCCGTTACTGACTTGGTTGTGATGCTGTGGTAACTTTGCTGTTTGACCCCGGGTATCATTTTACCCTTATAATGGTCAGTTTGTGCCTTACTTAGTCTAACGATCATTTGGAATAAATCGATGAATGTGAACTTCATTTCATTTTGTCATTTGTTTCTTCGTCAGTTTCATTAGGTGACTTTAATAACACTTAAAAATCAAATATCCCCTACTTTTTTTGAATAGTATATTTGAAATCTGTATTTATGATATATTTGAAATCTATATTTATGATATATTTGTATTTATGATATATTTGAAATCTGTATTTATACCCAATATTTAGAGCTGCTGTAAGAAGTATATGTGTGTTATTACCAGTGATGGGTGTGTCGTGGGGTTTTGGTATTCTTGCAGTCAATGAAGAATGGATTCTATTTGATTATATATTTACCATTTTAAACACTCTACAGGTAAAGTTACTCCTTTCATATATTTTATTGGAACACGTACTGGGTAGTCTATTGGTGCCACAAAGGGTACAAATTAACCACGCCTCTTGAGTTTCTGGATTTATATCCTAATATTGGTTACCATAGGTTACCATAGGTTTCATAGGCGTCTATACTAAAGCGTTTAATCAGTTTCAAAAGACAGTTTAACTGGACCTGGGGGATTATCAATTTGAAACTAATTTAGGTTTAATTTAGTTGATTAAATGTTACTGTACGACAAAACTGTATGTTGTACTATGACAAATCTAGAACAAGCTAATGATAATTATAGTACTTTACATGACCATAACTAGTTGAACAAGTTAATAATATTATTGGTACCTTAAAAGATCATAACAAGCTAATGATAATTATTGTACTTTTGTATTATAGGGTTTGTTTATCTTCATTTTCCACTGTGTCCTCAACAAAAAGGTAATTAAACAATGATGCTTTTTTTTAAAAGTCACTCATTTAAGCATAAAATGTTGGCAAAAAGATGGAATATGTACGAAAAGGAACCTGGCATCAATTTTAACGTCAAGCACGATTTACGGATTTTCATATATTAAAGTAAACTTTTACTGAAAGCCGTTACTAAAATTTAATCGTGGCTTCGTTTCTATAACGATTCTCTTGTACTTTAACCCAGGCTTGCGATCGTGGTCTCCATCCCTGATATCAGCGTATGTGGCTTGGAGATAGGAGGCGCCTTCTCAACCCTATGGGCTTACAGGAAGACCCCTGCGCATGCGCTAATCAGAAGATAACTTGTCTGCCATATCACCATCGGTAGAAGCGGGCATTAAAAATGATTCTGGTGGCTTAACGTCTGCTTCTACAATAGTGATATCGCAGACATTAAATTATAAAATGGAGACCGTATTTCAGTCGGTTTACATCTCGGCCATCCGATGGTGTAGAGAGCTGGTTAGAGGCTTGTCATGTGAATAACAGTCTTAATAATAGTTTATATACCATTTGAAGCAACAAAAAATACCTGCAATAGACAGATTTGACTCTTACTAAATTGGTGATTGGTATTATTTCCGTCCATTTTGCAGGTACGGGAGGGTTTAGCCATTCACCATCGACGTTACAGAAGTCGACATACGTCCCTGTCGGGGCCATCAAGTTCAAGGTCAATGTCAGAAACTGTAAGTAGAATTATTCGTAAAGGAAAATTTAATGAGATACAGTTTCGGTGATGATGATTGTATTTTGGTTAGTTGTATACTCCTAAAGGGGATGGGTGGGATTCGGGTGGAGCAACGTGTATGCTTCATATCATAAGCTCTGTTATCTATGCCAGTCGTAGGTTTAGTCTCGATCTCTGTCTGTTTAGGGGAGGTAACTCCGTTAGCGACATGTAAATTCACACAGGACACCTCGCGCAGCAGACCGATTAGTACGTGACAAATAGCATGGTACTCTACGAATTTTAAAGATCTCTCTATGCGTAGATAAATGGTTATCTGTTCCTGTGGAGAGAATATTAAATCCCTATACAATGACGTCATAATATCAGATAAAACGAATGTAATTATCTACTTAAAGGTTTATATCAACAAGACATTTATTATGATTCAGTAAAATAACCCATTTGGTTGAACTTTTCCTTTAACAGGGTCGACGTAAATCTTCTGTTGCCCTGGCAGCAAATTCAGCATTACAAGCCTTCATCAAATTCAACACGAGGGTCTTTGCAGGAAGTGACGCGACGCGAAAGGTAGAAACTGATTCTAGTGTTCTTAAATTTGGTGAAACAATTGCGGAAATTACTCCCAGTAATCAGAATGATCCTGACAATGCTACGAATTTAACGCTTGATAGCGATCATGTTGCATCAGCCGCGGCCATTGAAATGGAGATTGGTATAAAACCAAGAAGGGATGACCAACCACCACCAACAGTATGCGATGATATTATGAAAACACAGTATTTTATTCTCAGCTGTTCAACAGAACCCACAATGGAGCTTGATATTGATTTTATCGATGATTAATTGTATTTCCTGTTGTTTTGATTTTTTGATTTTTTTTAGAATCACTTACAGTGCCTCTATAAAGAATATATACTCCCAGTTAATATTTGATATCTGACTATATTTTGATATATTTGATTTTTCCTAGAAGCACTTACAATGCCTCTATTACATAATACTAGTTAATATTTGATATCTGGCTATTATATTTTGTTATTTTTCCTAGAAGTACTTACACTGCCTCTATTACAATATACTAGTTAATATTTGATATCTGGCTATTATTTTACGATAAGAGTAAGAAATATTTGATATATGGTTAGAAATATTCCATATTAAATTAGCTGAATAAAGTATAAAATATAAAGTATAATTATAAAATTCAATTAAGTATAAAATATAAAGTATAATTATAAAATTCAATTAAGTATAAAATATAAAGTATAATTATAAAATTCAATTAAGTATAAAATATAAAGTATAATTATAAAATTCAATTAAGTATAAAATATAAAGTTTAATTATAAAATTCAATTGTATAATCACATGTTTCTTATTTGTTTTGGACCAATTTAATTTGAATATTAATTTATATCTTATGTTCTTATATTTTACTTTAGATTATAATGTTTTGATCTACAAAATGCTTTTTAAAAATTTCAATATTTGCTTTTGACCACACAATGGGAAATATTTACGTACTGCATCACAATAATATGTTATATAGATTTCGATGTACAAATACTATGCTAGGGCATGTATTTAAACAAAAACGTAAATGTACATAATGTTATAATGTTCTTAACGAAAGTCTTGTAAGAATTTGTTATATTTATTAAAGTTAGCTACGGTGTGAAACACTTTTGTTTTTGTCGGGCCACGGTGGCTAAGTAGGTAAGGCGCTGACTCGCTAGCCTGGAGGTCGGGAATGAAATGAAATGAAATGAAATGGGGTTTAACGTCCTACTGTTTTGCTCCGAACTGGGCTAATGAAGACGGGCATACGCCATACAGTGTGCTATGAGGGTAATTTTGCCCGGACAGCGGCACTACGGCCTACTCTTATATCGAATTCCAACTGTCAAGGGATTTTTTACGTGCACGCCAATGTGTACACGGGACCTCGGTTTTTCGTCTCATCCGAATGACTAGACAGCTGTCCTTGTCAGGCCCTCAGTCCTGCATCACTGACAAGGGGGAACCACGCCGGAAAATCTGGATGAACTTTCTCGGCCAATGCAGGGATCGAACACCCGACCTCCAGGCTAGCGAGCCAGCGCCTTACCCACTTAGCCACCGTGATCCCCCTGGAGGTCGGGTGTTCGATCCATGCATTGGCCGAGAAAGTTCATCCAGATTTTCCGGCGTGGTTCCCCCTTGTCAGTGATGCAGGACCGAGGGCCTGACAAGGACAGCTCTCTAGTCATTCGGATGGCACGAAAAACAGAGGTTCCGTGTACACATTGGCGTGCACGTAAATGATACCTTGACAGTTGAAATTCGATATAAGAGTAGGCCGTAGTGCGGGTATCCGGGCAAAATTTCCCTCATAGCACACTGTATGGCGTATGTCCGTCTTCATTAGCTCAATCCGGAGCAGAACAGTAGGACGTTAAACACATTTCATTTCGGATTATTTTTGTCTATTTTCCTTATTTCTCAGAGACTACATTTCGGGTTGTTGTTTTTTTTTTATCTTCGAGTTTGATGGAAAAGTGAGTGGTGGCTAGTGAATAAGGCAATTTACAAAACGTCACGGACATCCGACCTCTAAAAATATAATATTCAATACGTAGAATTGTAACAGGTCGAGTTTTGAATATATCGACACGTGTCACCTTCAGGCGAATATCAAGTTATTAAAGCTACCCCCCCCCTTCAAATTAGATTCTTTCTTCAATAAAAAGAGCACCAGTTGTTCGATTGACACCGTCAGGCGAATATCAAGTTATACAAGTTATCTCCCCTTCAAATTAGCGTCAATATAGAACACCATTAAAGTTGTACATTGATTAGCAGTTGATATTCGCTACAATCACTGAGAGGGATGACATCGGCGCGGGTTTATTAGCTCAAAATATTAACTTTTTTCCTTCTAACTCAATGTCAAAAACAAAACAAAGAATTAGTAAACAATTTAATTTCTCTTTAAAACATTGATTTTATTCTCTTAGAAACCTAAATACATGGACGTTATAATGTTAATATATGTTGATATAATAAAACGATAATAATACAACGATAATAATTTGTAGACCTTAGTATTATTAGTATCATTCAGCCAAAGGAATAAATATAACTTGGTATTGTTCATTGAAACATTCTTATCAATTTATATTTTATAAGTAGAAGACGTTTATAAGTTGCTAGATATTTTGGGCTGTTCCCACTTACCCCGCAGGCTTTGATGTCAAATTTTGCCGCTAATCCAGAGTTAATCCTAGAACAATGGTGTTATAAACTATAGTCCATATCTTTTTTAAGACTAAAACTGTATTGATTTTAACAAATTTAACTGTTATTAAATAACATTAAATAGCTTACACATATAAAAATATATTGATTTTAACAAATTTAATATTTATTAAATAACATTAAATGATTTACACATATAAAAATGCATTACAATTTACACATTTAACTTTTATTAAATAGCATTATATAATTTATAAATAAATGCCTTACAACATAACAATCATTTTACAGCCCCACTAAATAGGAAATATTTGTTCCATACCGATTTACACTTAAAGAGCAATTTAATAACTGTGTTTTCAAATGTTCAATTCTTGTATCAAGTTGTCGATATTTCTTAACTCGAGGCCTATTTATATTAATATAGTGAATTGAATTCATGTTTGAAATCATAACGCCGGCATGAACTGTGTTCAAAATGTCATTAATTAGTTGGTTAATAAATTTTATTAAGAGGGATTAAGGGCTCATTAACGCTGAACACTAGTGAACAGTTCTTGAGTGACTACTTTTAAACAGACTATAGTTTTAAGATCAATCAAAGGATTAACAGTCTGCCGGCTAAGTGGGAACACACCGATATTTTATCTAATTCGTTTGTATTGTTGATGCAATAAAATATGTCTAAAGGGAACACCTCACTTTCCCCACATCTATTGTTTTGTGCCTGGGTCATTTAAAATGATTTAAATAATATTAGTGAAAAAGATTACATGTAAAAAATACATATAATATGGATTCTTACATTATAGCGTTTCCAGTATAAATATTTATAAGTATTAGCAATGTATCAAAAGTTAACCAGAGCGTTCGCCATTTTGGAATGACTATTTGTGATTCAGGGGAGCTATAATATATATCAACTGATAAACTGTGATTAAATATCAGTAGTTTATTTGTTTTTATTTCAAAATAATTATAACATCAAAACAGCCCACAATGTAAATTTATTAGTAAACTGGTTACACCAATTTACCCAATCTACTGATAGTGGGAAGTGTTCACCAGTAACAATAATTAGAGTGAGAAGTTTACACCAGTGATACAAATTAATTAAAACAGACTATAGCCCTACACCCACAGTCTAGTGACCTCCTAATCCTTTATCAAAACAATCAAATGTGGGGAAAGTGAGGTTAAACCGTCTAAAGTAATGGTGCTTAATTGGGAAAATTTAAAATCGGATTAATTATTGAACATTTAATTAAAATCACAGCTTGCATTCTGTCGGATTTAAAACAAGCCTGGTCACGCCCAATGAGATTGATATTTCCACTTTTAAGACTTGTCCTCTTAAAAAAGTTGAAGTCTTCCCCTCGTATGGGTCAGTTTTCATATGGTAAAAATATTAGTACTTCTAAATCTATCATCCATAAATATCATTTGATTTCAGTTTAGAAATAAAAATTACATTCTAGCAATATTTCAAATTCTGATTGATTATTTACATTTAATTAAGAAAGCCAAATCGAAATACCAATTAATGTTAGATAATCTCACGGCTTAGATTTAATCAGATTCTAAACAGGATCATCAATTTAGTTCAAGGCAGATAAAGAGGGCGATTAGCTTATTACACAATGTATTTTGATGTAATTTTCAATTTGTTATATCATTGCACATACTGAACGGAATTGAACCATTTTTGGATTGATATTCCTTTTGGAGATTCAACTTCAGAATTTTATAGTTGAACAGAATAAAACAGAATAAAAATAAAAACTCTTTATATATAAACATAAATATAGATTATTAGTAACATTATAAATTGAATTTCACTCGCAATCTTGGAATCTTTACAGGTATTGTTCTTCCTTTTGCTCTTTCTCTTGCTCTTTCACTTTTCCTTTCTTTTCCTCTTTCTCGTGCTCGTCCTTGTTTCCGTCCTCTTCCTCTTTCTCCTCGTCTTTTCCTTTCTCTTGCTCGTCCTCTTTTTCTTTCTCTTGCTCTTCCTCTTTTCCTTTCTCTTTCTTTTTCTCTTTTTTTGTGGGGTCCCCAAATCCATGTTGCAAAGGACTTTCCAATCCTTCCCAACCATTTATCAACCTGTACAATATAAAACATGGAAACTGAAATAAGTAAGGTTCAGTCCAGGTGTTGGTCAAGATAGTTCCTGTCTTGTATTTGTCTAGTTGTTCAGATGGGACAAAACAACTGAGGGCATGGTGTACTGCATGGCATATAAAAGAACCCTTGATACTTGTTAAGTCCATCACTTATTTTGATGAGGCCCACCAGTGTACTCGATGGCAATAAGAAAAACCCCTGATAGTTGTTATTATAATGAAGTCCACTAGTGAACACATGGACGTACACATAAACGGTCCATTAAAAGTTAAAAATCAAGGAAGAGTTGAAAACGCTGCTGCCTGTGTAAAATTCTCTTACTTCTCATGGTACGTGTTACAAGAGCAATAAAATAGCACATTATGCTAGTCGAATTCCAACTGTCATGGGTTCTTTTACGTGCACGTCGACAAGGACATGGGTGGGTCTTGGATGACTACATTAGAGTCAAAATGGCCAAATTATTGTCTAGATGAGACATTAAAATCCATTCTATTCCAGGCCTTACCTGTTCACTTTCCTCCACTCCGTATCGGCACCCATTAGCGAAATGTTCACAGTTGTTTAAGATAAGGTTGTAGCTAGCACAACCTATTTTAGATAAAGCATTCTCCACTATTTGATGTTCTGGTAATGGCCTGTAAAATAATTATGATATATATAATATGATGGTGGTCGAGTGATCTACCGTTTGCTCGCGAGTGATGAGTGAAACCATAAAGTCTGTCACTAAGTAAAGTGGCGTGATTTCGATTTCCAGCGTGTACATGCCAAGGAGTAGGGTCACTTGCCCAGTCCCCTCTCCCTCCCTCTGCCCACTGGCCTAGTCGGAGCAGAACAGTAGGAGGCTAAACCCCATTTCTCTCCTGCTTTCTCTTTATCTCCAGCGCGGAGAGGATACAACAGTGGAGGGAATCCCATCAGGTTCACAGGAAACCCTACTTTCTCACGTACAAGTGTTGATTGGAAACCACGACACTTAACGCAATGAGTACACCCACTGCCCCTCCCTAACTGTTTTTTTTTTCACAAACTGATGGCAGTTTCAGTCCACTTTGTGGTAAATGTTTTGCTTGAAAAACGCAATAGAAAAAATTATTTTCAAATAATCGCTCCTGTATAATCTTCATACCTTCTTTTGTAATCTGTATTACTTATCGTGGCTATACTCTTGCTGACCACGGTAAAAAAAACCTTCTTTCGTCAACACGCCATTGTTGGATTCGGGTCCAGTACAACCAGAACTGGAACTGGGGCCACTTGACCTACCATAACTGGAACCATTTAAGCCACCATAACTGCCACTTGAGCAACCACAACTTGAGCCACTTGAGCCACCACAACTGGAGCCACTTAAGCCACCGGAGCCACCACCACTGGAGCCACCACAACTGACGCTACTTGGTCTACCATAACTCGAGCCACTTGGGCTACCATAACTCAAACCACTTAATCTACCATAACTTGGGCCACCGGAGATGCCCTTTTCGCCAGTTACGGTTAAATGAACAATTTGCCCTTTGCCTGAAAATATGCAATCTATCTATGTATTATGTAAGATTTAGATAAAGCCCTCGATATAATACTTTCAAAATAGATATTGAAAAGGAAATTTATTGAATATTTCTGTCAAATTACTTCTTCTGAGAATAGCGTAATTTGTGGACAAAGAATTTTGTAAAATAAATAACGACGAACGCGTCGACGTTTCGGTCCCTGACATTCTGAAGCGTATCTCACCCTTAGTTTAGACATGTTTTATTGGATCAACAATACAAACGAATTAGACAAAAGTTCTTGCAAGTTATATTTATTCCTTTCAGTTAAATAATATCAGGTATATTATTATATATACTATTCAAAAAAAGTAGGGGATATTTGATTTTGGGGGCATAATACTAAAATATGCAAATGACTACGAAAAAAGTCACTATAGAACCTAACAGAAGAAACATTTCCAGTTACATGTGACGCCCAAACGCACCAATAGCTACCGCATGGAATGCAGGTGATGCTTGGGATCATCATGGGGGTCCAACCCAAGATTTGCACGACTCTGACTATGAATGTTACAGTCATTGTGGCATTGAATTCCAGGGTGGAAACATCAGTTTAATTGTTTTAGTGACCAGAAAACAAATTTTGATATGCGTCGGCTTACCCAAAATGAAAGGTTACGTGCCCTTGGCATGCTACAGATCGGCACAACACAGGCGGTTGTGGCGCGGACGATGAATGTTTCTCAGTCTGTCATAAGCAGGCTATGGTCCAGATACCGTCATACACAATCTGTACAGGACAGACCACGCTCAGGTCGACCAAGGGCGACAACTCAAGCCCAGGATCGATTTATCCGTACCTTGGCCTTGAGAAATCGTGTCATCACAGCAAATCAGATCAGCGCTCGTCTTCAAACAGACACTGGTGTGAGAGTGAGTGGCTAGACGATTCGGAATCGACTGCATAGGGCTCACCTTCGCGCCCGACGTCCTCGCGTGATCCCTTGTTTGAGAGATCATCACATTCAGGCAAGACGTCCTTGGTGTAGGGATCGTCAACACTGGGATAATCGACGCTGGAGCAATGTGATGTTTTCAGATGAGTCAAGGGTCACTGTTGATTTTTTGGACAGACGTAGGAGGGTGTGGCGTCGTCTAAACGAGCGCTTCCAAGACGTTAACGTCATCAGACATGATCGATTTGGGGGTGGTTCTGTTATGGTGTGGGGAGGCATCACTGTTGCTGGAAGAACGGCTTTACATGTTGTTGCAGGGCGTGGTACAGGCCAGTACTACCGGGACAACATCTTGGCAGTCCATGTTGTGCCGTTCGCACGACGTCATGGCCACCGTTTCATCTTCCAGGATGACAACGCAAGATGTCACAGGGCCAGGATCGTTACAGGAAACCTCCAACAACAGAACATCACCACATTACCTTGGCCAGCACCGAGTCCCGACCTCTCCCCCATCGAGCATGTCTGGGACATGCTTGGACAGAGGTTACGTCAACGTCAACAACGTCCTGCCAATGTCCAAGAACTTGCTGCTGCGTTGCAACAGGAATGGGACAATCTGGACCAAAATGACCTTAGACGTCTCATTAGGAGTATGCCACGTCGGATCAATGCTTGTTTGGCAAACAGAGGAGGATTTACCCGTTACTGACTTGGTTGTGATGCTGTGGTAACTTTGCTGTTTGACCCCGGGTATCATTTTACCCTTATAATGGTCAGTTTGTGCCTTACTTAGTCTAACGATCATTTGGAATAAATCGATGAATGTGAACTTCATTTCATTTTGTCATTTGTTTCTTCGTCAGTTTCATTAGGTGACTTTAATAACACTTAAAAATCAAATATCCCCTACTTTTTTTGAATAGTATATTATATGGTCTATATCGAGGGTCTCAAACTCATTTCCATTCAGGGGACACATGAACTAAAATTTTACATCAAGTGAACCGGACATCTACAAAAATTCTAAAAACAAAGCCATACGTCCTTGAACTTTGCTGAATTCCAAAAACAAAGCCATACGTCCTTGAACTTTACTGAATTCTAAAAACAAAGTCAAACGTCCTTGACACATGTAGTATAATGGTTTCCAAATTGCCAATGTATAATATTGATCACAACATTCTCTTGTATTGCACACTGCTTATATATCTATGACATACAGTACAGAAGTCAGAGTTTTACTGAAACCGGAAAACAATATATAAACATTGGCGGGCCGGAAGTGGCAATTGGGCCGCATGTTTGACACCCCTAGGCAATATATTTAGATTTCTAACAGAATAATTTTTTTTTATAGAAAAA